TTTTTTTTATAAATGCTGAGTTGCACGTTAAGGGAGTGAAACTCCTCAAAAGAAAATCAGTTTTTTTTCTTTCAAGATGAATATCGTCAAAACTTAATACTTTTTTATTTAGAATTTAATGTTTCTTTAATATTCATAAAAAAATATAAGATGTTTTATTGAAAAATATTCATTTGATCTTCAAAACTTTATAAAAGTGGAAAAAATGTAGTATTCTAATGTATGTTTCTTTATAAGTTATGTAATTTTTATTTGAAAAACTTTTAAATCAATAACATATAAATAGCGAATAATTGCGAATAATTTTTAAATTATTAAGTTGAGTAAACTGCTCTGTATAATAATCTACGTTCTATTAACGGCAGATGTAGGCTTTATTGAAAAATATTTCCATTTTAATATATTTTACAAGAACTTTATTATGTATATTTTTGTCACAATTCAAGATGGCTGATAATAAATTAGCAGAATCTATAAATTGAATATAAGAAAAGCCAGTAGAAATAATTAGACATGATTTATTTATATATATATATATGTTTATTATGCAGAAATTTTTCCATATTGATATAGACAGTCAGCTGTATTATCTTATAAAGGCAAAAGAAAGGGATGAGACATCACTTAATTTATTTAAGTTTTCTTGTTCGGAGAACGGGTAGGATCTTTGTTATTAAGAGTTGCTTTTATTTTCACTGTATTAATTGCTGTCTTTCGTTTTCATTAATTTCTGGTTTACCATTTGGCCTGATACTCCAAGAGAGCAACGTGCCTGTTGCCGCCATTCTTCCAAAATCGCCGATTGAGGTAAGTTTAACTAGGTAAGGTTAACTAATATATTTTAATCAAGAATTTTTATGAAAACCAGATGATATTAAGAGAATCTGAAAATCCAGATTTCCAAAAGTTCCAAAATCCAAAGATTGGAAAAATACATGTCTCTAATAAAATTGACTATGTTATCTTCCTCTAGAATCGGTCTTAAAAAATTTTTAATTTTAATATTATTCAGACTCAGTTATCTGTTGACATTATATTGTTTGTATGATGTCAGAAGCGAAAAATAACATGCAACAAATTAATTGCTACGTGGAGCTTTATTCTTTAGTTTTCTCTTAAAAACAATAATTTTATAATTTTGAAGCTTATAATTTTGAAGCGGCAGATTGAAACATCTTCTTAGTTATTTTTTTGTCAGTTATGTTTTATGATAAAATCATTGTGATAGTTAAGAAAAATATATCATTAATTATTTTACACTTCTTTAATAATATAATAATGTAATATCGGACAGATGTCTCAATTTGCTGCATATTTTACAAATTTCAACATCATGAAGTTATATTTTTAAGAGAAAACTAAGACTAAGATAAAACTTTATATGTAGCAAATTAATTTTTGCATATCATTTCTTACTTCATGCAACCAATATTGCATTGAGAAATAAGTTATAATTTTAGTCTTAATATTAATGATAGTCCTCAGCAAAAAATAAAAAGAATAGTATCATTTAATATCGATATTTAGAATATTTTAATATTTTATGTGTGATCTTAAATTATCATTTTAAGAAAATTGGGATAATTTTAATAATGTATAGTTAACATTTTTATATGAATTAGAGATAAATTAGAAATATCATTATATGTGTCATAATATTTTTTCTTTTTAGTTATTTTTTTATCTATTTTTTTTAGAAAATATTTTTTCTAAAATGTACATATAATTACCTAATAATTAATCAGAATATATGGTAAATTTTATATGGAATTTAATACATTCATATATTCTTTAGAAAAATCTATCTAAAAACATAATTTAAAATATTTTAAGGTGGACTACTTTAAATTTCTATACATTATGAAATTATAATAAGTTTTTAAATCGATTTTTAAATCGAAATTTTGAATAATATAGAAATTTGAAAATTTTTATGAAAGAGAAATTGAATAAAAAGGAAATATTTATCAATAGTATTAGCTATTGTATATTAATAAATTAAATATATATATTTATTTATTTTATTAATATTTTATTATTGAATTAATAAGATTATTTTCAATTAAACTTAATACAAGATATTTTTTTGTGAGAAAAAATAAGAATTTATAATTAATTCTAAAAACTAAAAAATTTTGGATTTTTTTAAGGATGTAATAAGAATCTTGTATATATATTTTTAGATTGTATAACTATTTTTACATTTAATAAAGCATTTTTAATCTACAGAGTGTTTTCATTCTTTTCTTAACTCGTAAAATACATGTAATTGCATCTTGTATTTATGCATCAATTATAAACCAATTATTTACACTATTGCATGAACTGTTTGCGATTTATGAAGCATAATAAATAATTACAAATTTTCGCGTACATAATTTTGCTATTTTGTATATCTATAATTTTGCTATTTGTATATCTATTGATTAGATATTAATTATAGCTAAAACATGCTCAAATATTATGCTTTATTATATAATTAATAACTTTATATATGATACTGTTATTATGATTAATTATAATCTGATTGATTTCAATGAAGTCTTGTTCATGCTTCCTCCTTCTCCTTTTTCACTCTTTTTAAATAATTTTTAACTTGGTATATTTAAAAAATATTTATGTTTTTACTTTTATGATTTACATCAGTCAGCACAGTGTAAAAAGTAAAAAAAGCATTTAAATTAAGTGAATAAAAAAAATTATTGCATATTCAAATATATCAAATATTTATTTATATATATTAAATAATAAATATCTAATTATTAAATAATTAAAATAAATTTTAGAATAAAAAAAGTTGCATGGAATTAGAGCTCTTATTAATCTGTCACTTATCAACTACGCTATGTAGCATTGCTCGTTAAATTTCTTTCTTTAAGATTTATGATCAATATAAAGGAATGTTCAAATTTTCATCAAATAAAAAATACTATTTACAAAATGCATTGCGCAAAAATGTTCGAACACGATACAATTTATTTTCAATATAGATTCATCATGTTAAAGGAGATCAAAATCCGTGAAAAGTTGACTGTGTTGTTTTAATTTCCTCTCTCTGTTGAGCTGCTTTCTGATTTATGCTCAGAGCATTCGTGAGCATCATTTGTCTTCTTCATGTAATACATTTGATAAACAACAAAAATGAAATGATTCCATAAGCACTGTAAGCGTAAATCAGAACGCAGCGTTAATTATCGAATGACAGCCAAATCATTTGAGCGATAATTTTAAATTTTAATGCTAAATACTGATAAAGTTTATATTGATAAGGCATTGCATATTCTTTTGTGATATCCCTGTTTTAATATTGTGTCAGTATACTAAAGTATTCTTTTAAATAATACGATTTGAAAATTTCTAAATTAAATTTTTTTACTAAAAATGTTTAGAAAGTTATTTTTTTATTTCATTTAGAATTTCATCATTATTAATATGTATAAAGTATCAAATTCGCAAAATATTATTTGAAGATATCTCAATATTTTTACCTTGCGAGTAGTTATATAACGAAGACGCGCATATTATCTTAATTATTGATAATATTAATAAATTGTGTTTAGTCAAATGCGTGGAATGCGTCAAATGCGAAAAATCAGAAAATTATTGTCGGTATAGTGATTTTTACAATTTTATAACAGAAATTTTAATTTTGAAACTTAAAAATCGGTGTATTTCAGTTTTCTATCAGATGCAAATAATGAATGAAAGATTACACAGTTTAAAAAACTTCTCAAAGATAATAATTTCATAAAAATTAAATCAATTACGATCAATTACGATTACATATTATTGTTTAAAGCACACACTGAAGGTATCTAAACAAAAAAAAATTGATGAAATATTTTTTGATGTCAAAGAATGTCACAATTAGTTTTTTATTACTTATGACATAATGCAAAAAAATTTTTGTAATATTTAACCTTTTAATGTATGTTAGAAACTGTTAAAATTACTCCTGTATCATAATTATAAAATAGGAAACTTGTTGAATGTAAAATATTTTAAATGAATATAGCGATTGCGAGTTGGATTTAATTAAGTAGATACGAGATTTGATGGATTGTCGGATATCTCGTTTCTATCTCTGCTGTAACGCGGCTGATTCTTTAAAGATGGTGATTCGCCAATGGAATTGCCGAAGATGCAGGAATGATTGGTCACTGATCCGTAAGTATCTTTGTATAGACAGAGGCCACAAAATCCTGTCGCATTGAAAAGCGGCAGATTTACTAAGCCATTCGATACTGCGAAATTTCTGTAAATCACAAAAAGAAATTAATAACGAGATAAAATTTTTCCCAAATATTTGTATGACGTTTTATGAAATATTATGGAGATTATAAACATCATATTTGGATATTTAATATTTCTTGATAGCGCCAAAATTACTTTCGTCTGTGAAAAACAAGAGACTGCAGAGACTGCGGAAAAAGGTAGTAATCAACATGATTGGTATTTCCATTTACTTGAAATATAAGCTTTTATTCACTGAAACATTAGGAAAGAATAAAAGAATTGTTACTTAAACTACAGATTGCGTGTCGGCAGACCTTTTTGCTCGTTTACGTTCTGAATGTTTCTATAGCTAGTTATTAGATGAAGACTGTTGAAATGCGCCGCTTACGAGATCTCGATCTTTTAAAAACATAATCAACTCTTTTGTACAATCTAACAAAACTTGGCAATATGTTGGATAATTTCATTTATCAGTTTTTTCATTTTTTTATCTGATTTATTTCATACTATTAAAGATTCAATATGGAAATAATAAAAAAATCTTAATAAATTATAATTCTAACTTATTGATATAACATTTTAAATATCACAATTATAATAATATATATAACAATTTTAAATGAGAAATCTTTTTACATTACATTACATTTTTATTTTACTCCATGATATTTTGATATCATTTTTTGATCAACCAAATGGTTAGCTATTACCATCTCGTAATCCGTCAGCTGATCCATGTCAAAAGATCGTGCATATCTGTCACTCTCTGCTAAATTTGATCCAGAGAAACTTTCTGTATGTTTCGCCAATGTTGCAATTTTCTCTGGTTCGTTTTGGCTCTCGTTTTTCAATATTAATTGCAAAAAACTTTTAATCAGTGGCGGAGCCCAATCATGAATCAGTCGTGAAAATTCGTAATTATTATTTTTGCGAAAAATATCAGCCGGAAATTGAACTTGAATCTCCTGTTTACCAGGCAAGCATCTTATCCCTTTTTTTTATTATAAAATTGTTTATTTGTGGGATTTGCAATACAATAAGATTATAATGAAGTTATAAGATAAACGAAAAACTTTCTTTTAACATAAGTGGGAATAGAGCGGTACGGCTATTGCATTTTATCCCTTCAACCACAGAGGCATGTAATGCCTCTTCTTCTTTTCTTTCTTTAAAAATCTTTATAATTTTCAACATTAACGACAAATCTTGAAACAAAAAAAAATTTGTCAAATAAGTATACAAATTCTGTAAAAACAATTAAAAAATGAAATTTACTTTCGGGAAGTCATAAAAGTTTCTTGAATGTCCTATAAATATTTTTCACTATTTTATGACGTGGATTACGAGAAGTGGATGAGAAAATCCTATGGTTAGTATGGGGGATGCATTTATCCGGTTTATCAAGCGTCAGGTGCATCGGTCGAATAATACTGAGGCCACTTTGGACGACAAGGGTGGCAAAGAAATGAAGGGGAGATTCAGCAAACGATTGTAGTTCGACCGGAATTGATTCTCGATGTGATACGCCACTAAATAGCCTTAAGTAGGATTATGTCTCCGCTATTGTGATCCAAATGGAAGGAGAAGCTTATACAAATTTCAGTCTTTGTGTGACGCCAGAGTATTCTCGACGTTTCGCTTTATATTATGTAGGTGTTGAATTTATCAAATAAGTCTCCTATACATGTCTCTCTCTCTCTCTCT